AGCAGGAATAAGGATCTTGTAAGTGTTAACATCAGGAACCATCCCCAAAGCGCAAACCTCGTGATAAAGCTGAACGCAAAACTCAACCTCTTCCGCGGACTTGCAGAGAGTCTCCACGACAGCGTTGAAAGTAGCAACATCGGGAAGCAGGCCTTGCTTGATCATGTTCCTGACCATCCCCTTGGCGGATTCGACGTAGCCTGCGTTGAGCAGCCCCTCAACGAGAAGGTCGCGGCCTCTGACGGGGGGGTTGAAGCCTCTGTCGCTCATTTCAGTGAGGAAGAGCTTGGCCTCGCGCAACTTGCCGCAGGAGCACCAGGCGTTGACGAGGAGGGCGTAGGTGGTCTTGTCGGGGGCCACGCCCTTGCGGAGCATGCGGCGGACGAGGGCGTAGGCGGCGTGGAAGAGGCTGTTGTGGCAGAGGGCGGAGAGGAGGGCGTTGTAGAGAGGGAGGGTCTGGGGGCAGCGGAAGAGGGAGGCCTTGTTGAAGACCGCGACGGCGTGGTCGACGTGGCGGTGGTGGCCGTAGGCGTGGATGACGGAGGCGAGGGCGGCGGGGGAGAGTGAGAGGGAGAGGGAGAGGCGGTGGTGGTGGTGGACGAGGGACCACATGGACTGGTACTTGTTGGCGCGGGCGAGGGTGGAGATGATTTGTTCGAACTCGAGGGAGGTGGGGGCGTAGGAGGGGTGGGTGCGGGCCCAGTTGAAGAAGCGGAGGGACTCGGTGGGGGAATTGGAGCAGGCGCGGAGGACGCGGAACACCAGCTCCGGGGTCACGCTGATGCGGAGCTTGTTCAGGGTGCGCTCCATGTAGAAGTCGCGCCGCACGATGTTCGACACGTGGTGGATTGCGGCGAAGTACTCGTCTCGAGGCGTGCCCGCGCTCGTTAGGCTTCGAGTCCAGGGCGCGCCCAGGAGTTTTGCGCAGATACGCAGCATTGGATTTGCGTCGCACCAGATTAAATCGAACCGATTGAGGAACAGACTGCGACAGTTAGAGCAATGGTGAACATGATCGTTTAGTTGGATGCGGAGCGGAGCTCAAGGAAGTAGCCCTTTCTTTCTAGTTGGTTGGGACGAGTTTTGTTTTGTTTTGAATTCTTCCGAGGGTTTAACGTTGGGGATTTTTGGAATAAACAGGCCCAAGCCCTGTTTCTATGATCCAGGTGAAATTGAAGACTTGGTTTCTGAAATAGTGAGACGAGTGACAGCTAAATAGATGTTTCTAATTCTTCCATGGTTCACAAAGTTAGATATATGGTTTGGTTTGTTAAACTTAAAAAAAAAAAAATGTTTTTAAAGAAATATTTATAAAAATAATTTATTAAGAATTAGATATGAGTTGTTATAAAAAAGTACAAGGTTATTTATTTTAAAATAAAAAATTTAGACAAGCAAGTTAAAAAAAGTAGAGAGATAATTAATTTATTAAAATTAAAATAAAGAATTCAATAACTGAAAAAAAGTATTAAAAAAATGAAATACTCTTTTAAATGGAAATATAAGTAAAATTATATAGAGAAAGAATTAATTTACATGAATTTACTTTATTTAATAATTTATATTTTACATCAAATTTTAACGATTTAATTATTAAATTAAAATTTTATGATACATATATCAAATTTACAATTTTAAAAAAAAATCATTTAATATTTTATTATATAAACTTAAATTATCATATAAAATATTTTTATGTAGATGAATTACTAAGTAAAGTAAATTTAGGTAAATTTTTACTTCAAATAAGTAGATTTCTTCTTTTATTTATTTATTTATTTATTTATATATATATATATCATAGAATTTGCTTTTAATGATTTTTTATTTTTATTTTCAATACTTGAATTTCAGTGTTTAGGAGATCTCAATTTCACTCGACCAAGGCAAGGACTTGTGAATAATATAAGGAGTCCAATGAAGTATTTATTAGACAAATTATTTATTTTCAGTAAATAACACTATCAACTAGCCGGCACGTGTGGGCCAGTGCAATTTCTCGCTTCCCTTCTAAGGGAACGAATAAAACGACTTTGGCCACTTTCTCGCATTATTAAATAAAACACCGAACAAATTTTTATGCTTCCACTTGTCCATAATTTGCCTTTTAGAAATCGCATAATGCTAAACGTGTCCTTCTTTTTGTGGTCACGTGTGTATATATAAACAAGCTCACTCTTAGTATTTGTGTAAGTTTTTTTTACGAGTATTTATGTAAGTTAAAAAAGGTTGACATTTTTAAACTCTTTAGAAATCATTGTTTTTAGTTTTTATTTTTATTTGGACTCTTTTTATAAAGAGAACTTACATAATATTAATATAACTTTTTTAAAGAATATCTTTTGATTAAAAAAGACTTTTCTAAAAAGATAAAACAAAAGACCATAATCGTATAACTCCTACTTTTAGGTGGTATTAGTTTTCTTTATTATGGAAAAAAAAAATGGTTGAAGTTTGGCACATGTTCTTCAAGAGTTTCAGCTTCCTCTTCAATAAATCAACAAGAATTGGTAAAATTGGCCCTATATTTTGTGTAGGCGTGATTCTCAAATGCCATCTCACATAATTGAATAACGTGAAGAAAAAAAATATGAATTAAAGTATTATTTAGTTTAAATACTATTGAATATTATTCATTATATCATATATCTTATGCTAAGTCACGACTAAAGTTATACTTTTAAGTTTTTAACACATGCACGGAATTAAAATTGAGACAATAAAATTATGAAATTAAAAATTAAATATTGCAAATTGAATTGCAAGTATAATTAAATTTTTTTATCCAATGTCATTTTTTCACCACCACAAAATTCAAGAACACGGTATCTAGAAAAATTATAGCAAACCTTGTAGAATTTTTAGAAAAAATAAGAATCTAATGAATAATAAATAAGATAAAAAAAACAATTAGAAAAAATAAATAGAAAATATAATACCTATTCACAAAATATATATATATATATCTCGATTCTCAACCAACATGATAGAAACCCTCATTGAAAACACAAACCAAACCCACGAACAAAGCACAAACCAAGCTCAACAATTGCAATTGAATGAAAAAATCAACTCACCTTAATTTAAACGAGCACGATTAAAAGAAGAATAAAATAGGAAGAAAGGTGAGAAGATAACACAAATTAGAAAATTACTTAAAAATGATATTACTAACAATAAAATAAGTTATTTCTCAGTTTCATAATAAGTATTATATTAAAAGAAGAAAAAAAATAAGTGTCAATTTCTCAATATAATATAAATTACCTCTTTTTTATTTATACTCTAAATAAAGTTATTTAAAAAAAATATTGTTGTATTGCATCATTTTTAATAAAGAAAATTATCTATAAAATTAATTTTATAAATTTACTATTATCTTTTATTTGTTTATTAATTTCTCATGATTTGTGTAAAATAATTTAGGATAATACTTATTATACAATAGAAGAGTATTACAGTATATCACAATGGAGAGAAATTAATCAAAATTGAAAATTGAACATTGATATTCATTTTCCCAAAAAAAAAATGATGTAGCGGAATGGAAAGTGAAAATAGTGTAGGGGAATGGGTACATTTACCTCACAATTTAATGATTATAATTACACGAGAGGTTACAGTCAATGAAAAACATCTATTCTATTTATTATTAAATTTACTATTCAAATAATACGTATCATAGATGTTTAGAAAATTAACTATAATTTTTTTTAAAACTTCGTTTTTTCCTCCATTTTGTTTTATTGAATTATACTAACCAATTGAATAACTTGCATTCAAATTAAAGTAATTAATTAAGTTGATAATCTCTCTAAATTTATATATAAGCAAATAAATATTTAAATTTTTTTACTAAAATGTAAGCAAATTTTAATAAAGTTAACTTTATTTAACACTCTTAATCCAAAAATGTTTCTAAGAAGATAAATGAAAGTACTATTTACAATAAATGTGATAAATGATATTTTAGGAACGGTAATGTATATTATATATGAAATCGTAAAAATTAAATGCACTTAATTAATTTCCTTAATCTACATGAAATTAGGCTATTTTGCTCATATATAAGTTCAAATGGAGTATCTAATTAAAAAATATATTTTTAGCTAGTTTAAGAATAACTAGAAATTTAGCATGTGCATTGCTAAGAGAATGCAAGTTCCATGGTGGAACTTCATAGTCTTATCGAGTAAGATGACATACCTACTTAAAGTGCATGCATAACTTATGAAGATTCATCTTCTTGCTTAACAACGTGAGTGTTGCCTAGCAAGAAGATGGAGTTGTAGATGGCCTTGGAGGTGATCTCCCCTAGTAAGTCATAACTCGACTAATGACAAAACCCAAAAGAGGCCTCAGTCTGTCTATCAAGTTGTGGTTGCTTAGTAAGGCAACCCACAATGGGTCAAGCTTATCTAGCGAGGGGAGCCATAATAGGTCTCTCTCACTAGGTGAGAACAACCCATTCAATGAAAAGTTCTAAAGGGGTTTGGGCACAAAGCTATACTCGCTCGACTAAATTCCCTTATTTTTGTTGATGTGTTCCTTAAGTTAAATCCTGATGAGATGTTGGTAACTTAAGTTGATTACTACATGTTGTAAGTTGAAGTATGTTGATATATGAAGAAGTGATTTGTGATGATTCTTTTATTTCATGTGATGATATGTGTGTGTATATACAGTATTGAGTTAAGGTATTATGTGTTGTATAAGAGAAAAGTTGTTTATGTTGGTAATGCATGATGCAGGCTTTATGTGCTGAGTTAAACTTTGTGTAAAGAAAAATGAGTTGTTTTGTGGTAAAAGATCCTATTGTAAGGATTTGAGTTATAGCGCTTTAAGAGTTCAAAAAAGATAAAAATCCTTTAGTGAGAGAGTTGACTTTTGAAGTTGACAGTTGTTTTAAGAGTTATCTTCTATAGGTTCTTAGTTGATATAGTATGAGAGTAAGGCCAAATTATATTTGGAGGCTTAGTTGATGCATGCTTAATTATCTTCTTTAGGTTCTTAGTTGATACAGTATGCATAAAAGTTGTTCCTAACTAAGTGTTAGAAGGGTACACAATATTTGAAGGCTTAGTTGATGCATACTAGAGTACTAGTAGGTTCACACCCAAGTTGTGTTGTATGACCTAGAGAAAAAAGGTCTTTTTGTGTTGTTAGTTCGATATGATCAAACACTTAAATTACTCACCTATGTTGTAGGATATCTCCTAAGTGGAAATGCATGATGACACATAAAGATGTTGAGTTGTACAATGTGTTATGTAAGTTGTTCATGATGTTGTTGAGTTGTCTTGTGTTTCACTTACTCCACTTAATAACTCATATTCTAAATCAAATTTCAATAATCTAACCATTAAATTTAAAGTTCTTAATGATATACCAAGTCTAAAAAAAATAAAAAAGTTGAAAATCATCTGATTCCTCGTTTAATTAATTCAAATTGACAGATAATCTTAAAAACATTTTATATGTTGATTTGAATTTATATAATGAAGTATTATATAATTTTCAAATTTTTAAAAAAATCTGTAGACTTGATCTGCACATTAAGAACTTGCAATTTAATAGTCCAATCGTTGAATTTTGATGTATAAAATGAATTATTGTGTGAAGTAATCTACTAAGACTTATTCTTGAAGTAAGTGAATCTTTTTATATATGAAGTTGTTGAACTGTAAATTTCTGTTCCAATAGTGGTGTATCTAAGTTGATGAGGTGTGATTTCCAGTGTTTGCTTAAGTTGAACTTGTTACTATAATTTATGTTTAGTTTAAACGTTAAAAAAATACTAAATGATGATAATAAAAAATTGTGATAGTAAAACAATTGACTTTATTAGTATATAGATAATAAAAAATACTAAATGATGAGTAACATTAAAAATTTTTTTTGTGACTTTATTAGTTAAAACGAAAGACATTAATTTGAATATTTCTTTCATAATTTCTTTTGCTTCAAACATTTAGTTGTTCTTTATAATTTGGTAACAGTTTTTTTCTTGCCATTAACGCGTAACTATTGTTCTAGCAAAAAAGGCATGACTATTACCTTGAAATTTAATGAGTTTCATGACCTATATAGAAAAAATAAAGTGGTCCATATGACCCAATTCTCTTTTACGATAAGCCTAGTTTTTTTTTTTTTTTTTTTTTTGTGTGTGTGAGATTTTGACTTGTTTTACTTTGTTTTAATGAAATGAGTAATGTGATAAAAAGAAGTTAAAATAAAATAAAAATAAGTTGAAAGAAGACATTAAAACTAATCTAAAATTTAAATGCAATTGTCCAGCTTTTGCTTAAATTTGACTATTTTTCACAATTTACAAAAAAATCATGTATATAACATTTATTGTTCAACATACGGCCTCTTAAATGCATGCCCGCTAATCAAATTAAATAGATATAAGTTGAAGGAAGAAATTAAAATTAATCTTAAATTTAAATACAAATATTCTTAAAATTAATTTTTTTAAATTTATAAATAATGTTGTTGATAACATTTATTTTTAGGTATTTATTTTTTTGCTCGTGTATCTCTCCTCCTCCCTCCATCCCTTTTATCTTAAAGGAGGAATTCACTTACTCTAAATGTAAGTTTAATTGTATTTATTTCACTCAATAATTTATGTTTTACATCAAATTTTAATGATCTAACTATTGAATTGAATGTTCTTAATGCATAGATTATGTTTATAAATTTTAAAAAAATAATTTAATACTTTGTTTTATTAATTTGAATTAATGAATAATAATAAAAATATTTTATACGTTGATTTGAATTAATGAAATGTAATTTAATACTTTTAAATTTAAAAAAAATTATAGACTTAATCTATATATTACAAATTTTAAATTCAACGATTGAATTATTAAAATTTGATTGTAGAATATAAGTTATTGAGTAAAGTAACTATAGGTAAACTTATTTTTTGAATAAGTGGATCCCTCCTTATATATATATATATATATATATATATATATGTATGTGTGTCGGAAATAGGTTTAAATGATATTAAGGTATCAAATTAAACTTTGACATTAATTCTTATCTATCCATTTTTTTAATCCAAAATTTGATATCAATCACAATTCTCAACTCTATTACAAATCATAATTATCATTGTCGTCATTATCACTATTATAACTACTACCACTCTTAATAATCATTGTTGTCACCTTTGTCTTTATTACATCAATTTCATCGTTGTCATTCTTGTCACATGACCATTGTCATTATGGTGGTGGTGACAACAACCTCAAAAGCCACGAGTGTTTATAAGTTAAAATGACTTGAGTTGATCTTATTCACCCGAGAACAATCTTAGAGGGTATAGTGTTTATAGTACTGAACTTTTTTAGTTTAAGTGGTAAAACTAAAATAAGTATTGCCAATATTTGACTTAGAGAAGACATGTCAGATGTTGTAGTTTAGTAGGGTCAAGTCACTTAGCTTGTTCGCCTCAATTATAAGAGATTTCCATAAGTTAATATACGTGAAGATACATTAGTTGTTTAAATTGCTTCGTTGTGATTGAAGTTGTTTATGTTGAAAATGGTGTGTATGTTGTAAGTGATGACTAATGTTAAAGTTGTGATAAGGTTTCAAGTTGGAAGCTTTAAATTGATTATATTTGTTGAAGTTTTTACTACCTTATTTTATCATTATGTTGTTTTTTTCACAAACTTACCCTTACTTTTTCATATTGTTAGAATGCAATGATCATATTTGACATGAGATTATAACATAATTAGGTTGTAGGGTAGACTTGGTAGACAATCATGCTAGAAATGACTTTGTTTTTATTATACTATTTTAATATAGTATTTTGTATAGAAGCGCTTGATCGAATTTAGGGTTTTTTTTATCAGTATTTTTTACTTTGATGTATCATGTATGTTTGTAGATATGCATAATATATTATTGTAAATCCATAAGGGACTTTATGTTTTTTTAATTAAAATTGGTATAGACTGCTATGTTTTTGCACCTTATACATATATTTATAGCATGAATTTCTAGATATTGTTACATGAGAATCTTTATGAAGTGAAATTCTTTATTTTTTTACTATGTAGTAACTGTACCATACTAAATGTAGTAACTTGTCAGGTCATTACATTAAATATCGTAATTGTATAATTTTTTTCCTAAATTTTAATTGAACAATTTTAATCTTTCAAAACTTATATTTGTATGATTTTATTCACTCCTAGTAAAAATCTAAATAATTTTAAAACTACAATATATATATATA